GTTTCTGTTCAATTCATAATCAGCCTATTTTATGCAGTGATGCCACACAGTCACATGAGTGTCATCACAGTCATTTACTAAAGGAAATGTGATGCTTCCAGTACTAGCTTTGCTATCACTGAATAAATCAGGTAAATAAGCAGGGCTATTTTAAAAGAATATGCTTCATTTTTAGATCTTGGGAATCAGCAACGATGGGGAAATGAAGTATGGAAAAAAGCACATGACAACCAAACAGAAGCTCACGAAAGCGTGGGGGGGGTGTAGGTGGTACACCTACAGGTGGTAGGTGTATATATATATATATGGCACACCACATATTTTTTTCCTGAATGTGCAGGATCTTCTTAAGGCAGTACAAAATGAAGTCCAGTACATTACTCTAGCTTTATGATATTCTGTGATGCAAAAGAAGGCCATTGTTAAAAGTTGGGATGTCCTGGTTGAACACATGCATTCTAGTTATGCAGCCTGCAAAAGGATTAATTTCTCACGAGGGCCCAATTTCAGTGACTTCAAGAAGAGATTTTCTCATGCAAAGAGTTGGGCCTACTGGGCAAGATCCTTAGCTAGTGTAATCAGCATAGATCCAGTGACGTCAACAGTGCTATGTTGATTTATATCACCTCAGGATCCGGCCACATATCTGGCAGATAAACTAGTATCCAATGTCCCGACTACTAGCAATCTGAACATAAGCACTACTAATTCTAGTTCATAAAGTTACAGTCATGAGCCTTGTTATAAAAATAATTTTCTTGCCCACTTTAAAACTTACTAATTTACATGTGACTATATTATTAAAGTACAAACTTCATAAATGTTAAACCTTGGTTAAATAGATCAAGACATGTCTATTATAACTTTATGAATGACACTTCACCTAAATTGAATCACACTTAACTAATACTTTCATGTTATTTTTGACAGAATTTTTTCCATGTGATTTCCTAACTTATTGCTCCATATTTCCCAAATGTAAAGCTTTCAACATCTTCCTGAGTATCCTTTGCCCCATTCCGAGTACTTTATTCAGCTACAGAGACGCTTGTAATATTAACTATCTAGGACTCTCTTTAAAACTGCAATGTAGCCATTAACAAGTAAAATCTGCAAAACTGACACTTTGTGCTGTGTCTGTATTGATGCATCACTGTAAAAAGCAGCCATCTTTCTAATTGTCACTGTTCTGTTTTCAGAAATCAACACAAGCATCCGCATACATGCACAAGCATTTTTTTAAAAAAGACATAGCATTTAATCCTTTAAAAATCTGCCATCTGTTAGTATCTAGACAATTGTGTTGAAATAAGACACCACTTTGAAAATGTGCCATGAGGTACACATGTACAGGTAGACTGCACTGGGTCAGTAAATAATGTTACAAATTAATTTTTGTGACTGCTGAGTATTCCTAGGGATAAAAGAAAATTGCTTGTTGCGTGTTTAATGGAGTCTTCCTAATGCAAAAGTCGCTATCATGATACTAAGCTTTGTACTTGTGTATCATGTTAGTGCTTCCACTGTAACCATAGGGTCCATCTACATCACAGCCATAATAGTGAAAAAAATATGTAGCATCTTCCTGAAAAACTCATCTTTAAAAAAAACATTAGGGATAGCATAATAAACAAAATCAACCACAGTAGGTGAGCTGACTATATACAGGAGAGATTCCCCCAGCGCAAAAACAAGGCAGTATATTCCTTTACAGATACATATTGGACAGCCATGTCCACTTTGCATTTTGGACCTTTGATAAGAATTACAAGGTCAGTAATTTCCCCTTAAAACTAGTATGGATATTTTGAAAAACCAAAAAAAAAACCCCAAATGTTCTCATAAAAATACAGTTTAGAACTGTATGTATTATAAGATAATGCACATGAATGCATGAGAGCTGTTAATATGTTGACAGGTTTCAGAATAGCAGCCGTGTTAGTCTGTATTCGCAAAAAGAAAAGGAGGACTTGTGGAACCTTAGAGACCAACCAATTTATTTGAGCATAAGCTTTCGTGAGCTACAGCTCACTTGACAAGAACTGTTATCAATACATTATTATTTTGACAAATTTATTTTATTATAAAGGTCTAGTTTAGGAAGGAGTATTGCATTAGACTGGATGGTGTAAGGTAAAAGATGGTAGCAATGTGATTTAATTTAATATGATCAGCAGGTACATGTTACCCAGTTGTAACTACCAGGATTACTGTGTTAGTGGGCAGACCTTAGAACTGCTAAGCATAGTTTCCAAGAGTGTTCATTAGACTATATTTATTAGATACTGCAGGCATTAAGGAGAAATGGGCTACTCCAATTTCTGTTCTTTAATTTCTGAAAAATAGCAAGAGTACCAGAAAAAGTAGCGGCCTTCAATTACAGACCTAAAATGAGGAATTTATTTCTCATATTAAACATATGAACCTCATCTCTAACATTATTAAAGGTCCAGATATATTAGTGCATAATTACAGTGCACAAGTAGATTTGTTTGATTGATGGTGTTTTAGGTCACATACATTTTCCTTTTAGGGTAAGAATCATATGGCACCTTCATTTCACAGAACATTTCTTTTTTCTAGGCTTTAATCTTCAAATTTTGCTGAAGTTCTTAATGAATGTGGTGTTTTTATTTTTATTTTGTTTAGAGATGGCACTAAGTGTAGGCTTAATCTAAGCCTCTAGTAGCTCAGTGAAAACATATGAAGAAACAGTTTGTTGTCCTAAAAGCAAGTTTGTTGGCTGTCCCTACCTATTAACAAGAGAAATAATCACTTGCAGTATAATAATAATTATGCCATATTCTGCCCTATACTGATCAAAGTCAGTAAAGCAAGATTCATTAGATGATTTTGGAAAAGACAAACGCTGGATCCTGCCAGTATTCAGCCCCACCTTTCAAATTCTAATACTTAAATAGAGAACAGGTGTATCTGCTCCTACTGCACCAATAAAATTCAGACCATGAGACATCACAGCATGAGGGCAATGCAAAAATGCACATCCAGCACCTGGATTCTGCTGAAACAGCCAATTTTTGGCCACGACTACCCTACTCTCAACTCTACTGCACCAATGGAAAACAAATGTAGACACTCCTCTTATTCCCAAAAAATCAGGACCTCAATGCATCTCAGAACAACAGCACCACAAATTCCTGGATTCACTACCGGGATCCTGACAGATCTTGTCAGTTTTGGGGCCCAAACTGCTAAATTCCATTGCCTAATTAAAGAACATGTTTAGATGCTCCTATAGCACCTTAAAAATCTGAACCCTGATATGCCCAGCACAATAGCACTGCCAAAATTCATATTTTGCATCTGAATCATTCAAGGTCCTGCCAAATTTGGGCCACAAACTTAGAATTTGTACCATCAAAATAAAAAATAAGTCTTGCTTCTACTCTTCCACCAAAAAATGTGGGATGAATCTTGGTCTGATATTCTCATTGATTTCAGTGGGGCCAGGATTTGATTGCTGGTTTCAGATACAAGATAGCTGCAAAAGCCTTTCCAAATGACCTACGTTTGGGCTGCATAATACCCAGTTTTAGCACCTAAACTTGGTAAATAAGCAACTCTGATAGCCCACCAGAATAATACAGACCCCAAGCATCATGGTGCAACATATTTAGCAGAAGTTATGCTTGGCTTTATAGACTCATTTAAAGCTATAAAGGTTCATTTTAATATTAAAAGAAAAAATATACAGCCCTCATTCAGTTCTTAGTCAATCAGTATAAATAGGGCCTGATTGTCATTTACACGAAGGCCCCTTTCCTTCATGCTGACATCTCTTTACATCCACTTTAAGGCTCCTTTACACAGCCACTGAGATGTAAAGGTGCCCTTCCATGTAAATTAGAATCAGGCCCATGATCTGCCAACTATTTTCTAGACTGGGCTCTGGTGTTTTGTTGTTATTCCATCTGCTAAACAAATAATGTCCAGATTTGGATTCTTCATCAAGAATAAACAAACATGTAGGTGCACATTTCAGAACATTATGGATGGTCATGTATGGAACATCCCAGATCAGAGGACTTTTTCTATGCTTTCTTGAGAACATTATTGTTAACATTGTTTACAATACATATAGCCAACTTTGTTGCTGTTTCAGTGATATGTGTGTGTTTTATATAGTTGTGAAATGCACATCCCCAAATGGTTTTTTGTTTGCAGTGCAATTGAACTACAATATGCTGGGATGCTGGATTCAAGATTTTGTAGCGCTGTGGGGTTTAGGCACATCAAATCTGGATATTTAAGAGGCAGCTAAACATGTGGCTTAGTTAAGCAGTGGAATTGCACAGACTAGGACCAAAAATTGGCAGGAATTAGCTACCAAAGTACCTGCAGTACAATTGCATTGGAATGCATCGAGATCCAGATTTTTGGTGTCAGAAGAATATCTATGTTTGTTTTCTATTGATGCCGTGAAGCCGGGGGTTGGGGATCAAAAACTGTGTGGTTCCAAGTATCAGATCTGGATTTCGGTGGTGCTTTCATGCCGGGAAATATCATGGTCTGGATCCTGTTGCTGCAACAAGAGCATGTATACTTGTTCTCAATTTAAGCATTAGAATTTGGGAGGTGTGAGCCAAATTCTGGCTCCATCAAGATCTAGGTTTTGGATCTGGGGTTTTGCTGCATTGTTACTCCTGGATGCAGTGGGGGTCTGTCTTGTTTGTTTTGTTTTTTGTTACAATAGGAGCAACTAGACTTGTTCCCCATTTAGGCAGTGACATTTGGGAGGCTGGATCCAGTAGGATCCAGCTTTTACCCAGACACAATGATTCCCCCCTCCCAAAAAAAAAAAAATTGTGAAACACATCTCAGAGGAGGGAGATATGCGTAACACTGCCTGACTGAGTGTAACAAAGCCTGGAAAGGCTTCAGAGCCATTTCATGCCATTGCAACCTAGCTCTGCAATGAAGGTGTTGCATCGCCAGCAGTGCCTTACAAAACCATATGAATTTGCAGTGCAAACACTTACCCAGTCCTCAAAGTGGCGGCTCCCATTCTGCAGCAAGTCCTCAAACTGTATAGTGCAGTTAGCCACAAAATCATCGTACCCGATGGGGGCATCGTGGAAAACAGCCATCTCAATCTTCCTGCCATTGCAAACGTCAGTGACAAACTCATCATTCCAGGCAGGGCTGTTAGTCTTTTGCTTGGTCGAGGTCTGCCCGATCCTGGAATCGTCCACGTTGAGGGCGATGTAAGGGTCCAGCAAAAAGGTCTGTGGTCTGGGACCCACCGCATGCCTCAGAGACCAAGGTGTGGGTTTCAGATTCACCGCCTCGCAGATCTTGATTTTCAGCAAGCCATTAAAAACCACCATGGTTGGATGGCTTCACTTTTCCTGGGATTAAGCACACTCGCTCACACGCACAGGGAGGGAGGCAGGGAGAGCTCACCAATAAATAGGAGAGCAGGTCTGCGGGGGGAGGGGGGAAGCAGAGCACAACGTGGGGGCTCCCTTCTTGCTGCTGCTGCTATCTTTGATTATTTAGCCTTTGCTCTTGCGACACCCCGTGAATACATACAATGTTCTTGCCTGTGTTTCTAACGGAAAACAAGGGAGGAAGGGAGGGAAGCAGGGGGGACGGCCGTGTTTGCAGAACCCCCCCCCCCAATGCAATCAAAATCCGAGCATAATAAACCCTCGGGGTGGGCAACAGACTTTCCCCTTCACCTAGATCATAATCCTGGATCAGTCTTTGCAAAGGAGGCAGAGCCGCGATCCGAGGCTCTTGCTCACGCTAGTACTGTCTGTGGGCAGCAACACACACAAACCCGAAACACCACGCCAAACAACCAGCCCTGCCTACTTCACAGCCTCTGCTCAGAAAACACACACCCGGGGACCTTACATCCGCATAGGATCGGGGAGCCTCCTCGCCTTCTCCTCCTCCTCCTCCTCCTCCAAGGCCAAGGATCCAGGGGAACGAATCCAATGCATGAGGGGAGTCTGCTCCGGATCAGGCTCTTCGGAGATTTAAAAAGGCACAGGGTGACCACCGCCTTCTGGATGGTTAGCCCTGCGGGCTCGCGTCGGTGCTGGGCTGAGTAGCAGCAGCACCCCCCCACCTCTCGCTCTCTCTAATGCAGGAAATGCGCAAAAGACGTCAGTGTGTGTGTGTGTGTGTGAATAGAAAGTTTTGCCTGTTGGGGGAGCAATACGGTAAAAGTGAGCATGAAACAGCTACAAGCGAGTCAAGAAACCACGACTCGGGTCGTGACTCTTTCAGACTCAATGAGCGCTGCCCTCCCTGCGTGCATATTCATGAGGTGATTTGTTCAGGGGTGGGGGGCTGGGGGCTTTCTTCCTTCCCCCCCTCCCCCCACTCTGCTAAAGATAAAAGTTGGGATTCAGTGTGGGGGGGAAACATCCCTGCTCATCTGCCTGGGAAGTTTTAAACAGCACCCCCGTTTTATTTCAGTCCTTTATCACTGAAATCCTGCCCCCCCCCCCGATTAAACATTGCAAACATCCAGCCGCCCCCGCCCCAGCCTTTCAAGCGGCCCTGCGGTACTGTTGTTGTTTATTGTTTATTCTCGCGCTGCTGTGGACGATCTCAAGACGTTACTGGTATTTCCTAGCCTGCAAGTCTATCGCCAGAAGTGTGTTTGTGACAGCATACGGCGCGGGCAAAGAAAAAAAGATGTCAACGCCTAACGTAAATATTCCTTCCCGAGGAATGTCCACTGCGGCTGCTTGTTGTTGGTTTCTTTACTTTCTGTCTTTCTTCTCTGCAACAACACAATCCCCCCGGGATCCCTTCAGGACTTTCCAATCCGCGATAAATTGTTGTTGACAAATGCAAGCTCCGGTTTTTGGACTCCTTTTCCCTTGTAATCGCTTTGATCCTCGCCGGCTGCCAACATTAACCCTCAGCGCCCCGCCGCAAGCGAGCGAGGCGGGCTGCGTCTGCTTTCTGCGGGCGCATCCTCTCTCCCCGCCCATTGGGCCGCGGCCGCGGCATAGGCCCCCTGACGTCATTCTAGGGGCAGAGCTTTTGGCTGCTTTAGGAAGAATTTCCCCTCCGACTCCAGGCGCTGGGAAGTGAACTGGGAGCCAAAGGGAAACCGTCCTCCAAGGCAGAGCCGAGATTTGATTTGCGAGGAAAGGGACCTGGAGTCGCCTCCTCCTGGGTGAGGAGATTTCTTTGGAACAAAAGACAGTGCAAAGGACCCAGGAGATTTTATCTGCAAAGACAATTCCCCTGACTGGTTTGCCTGCAAAACTTTGATAAGTAACACGGCCTGGGTAAAAAGAAAGTGGTTTTGCCACCATTCCTAGGACTGTAATCAAATATACCAGCCAAAACCACACACTTAAGCTATAAACTTCATATCCCTTTGTCATGAATCAGTCGCTTTTTCTGCTGTTGATCATCTCATATTTCAGTGTGCATATGCCAACTTCAACAGAATTCACAGAACATTTAGTAAGTGTTTAACTATTTTGTCATTGGCTGTCCTCCAGTGAATACTGGAAATAATACCAGTGAGAAATACCTACTCAACCTGGAGGTTATTAAATGCAAAAAAAAAAAAAAAAAACACCCTACTACAACACTATGAGTGAGATTCTATCAAATCTATCTGTCATCTAGGGATTTATACCATTCTCATCAGCATGGTATTTGAGAATTTTACAATAAAACAGGAGAGTCTTTCTCTTCTGCCACATGATTGTAGAGAAGTCTGGGATCCATCATGTTACCCAGTCTTTCTATTGTGAGCATTATTACTGATTTTGTGTTATTAATTTATTATCATTGTTTTGTTGTGGAAAAGCTGAAGGCAAAGAGATGGATCCTGCCCTTCACCCTAAAGGTGGTAAAGATTTGAGTTCATTCTGCTCTCCCGAGCAAAAGAGTTCCCGTTTATGAGCTGGCTGCCAAGGAAGTTCTGTCTCCAGAGTCTAAATCTCTGTCTCATGAGTCTAAATCTAGTTGGGGACAGCTCCACTGTTAACAGGACAACAGTCATGAAGGGTCCTGATATTGGATATTTCAGGCAGCTTAGATCCAGTCAATGGAGAGCTTTAAAGATTCGCACTATGGTCTTGGTCTGAATCTGACATTCACTGGGGAGCCAATATAATGACCAGAACAGAGAATAATGTATTTCCACAGCAGAGTATTGTTTAGCAGGCAGGCTGACATATTCTGGACCTGATGGGATAGCTTCAAGATTTGTGCATTAGTTCCCACATATAGGGTATTGCACTAAAAGCCTGAAGGTTATGAAAGCATGACTGTTAGTACTGTGTGTGTTCTTCTGGCAAGCCACAAATAGGAGAAAGCATTTCTGGTGCACATTGCTACTTCATCTCACAATAACAGAAGTGCAGAAAGACCCCAGTACTAGTCACAATCTCTTGGGCAGACTCCCTGAATGGGGAGCAAAGATATGGTGAAACTTATATGAAATGCCTTCCTCAATTACCCAGCATTACATCTGTCTTGTCCAGTTTCAGACAGCTGTACCGCAGTTGCACCTCTGATTTCACTGAGGTAGTGTAGTCACTGGGAGATTTCACACGCACGAAAGTCAAGAAATACAAAATTAAGACTCCTCCAAAATTGTAACTTGGCCCACCTGGGCACACATATCATTTTGTATTACATGATATGGTGTTAATTTTAATGCCTCAGAAAGAGATTTTTAAGTCCATTAAATGGCCCTCATTGGAGTTTTTGTGTCATGTGCCTGAGGTGTGGTTACTGTGGGAAACACTTTGAATTTCCTGGCACTGAGGTAATGTAAAAGCTGAAGTCTTATATTGCAACAATGTATTTTTCCATTTAATGCCTTTTTATTTTTTTAAAAGATAACTACAATTACATTCTGAATGCACAATGTAAGACTCAAATAAGCACAATGTATGCAGTGGCTTTTAATATCCTTGCATGTCCATGAGATCACACATGAAAATGAATGCATATTTTCAATGTATTATAAGTCTAATCACTGAAATAAACACATGTGCATTTATTTCAGTGGGTGGATATCCAGCTATGTGTACACACAATATATTTGGACACACACATACCATACATCTGGTTTTATATAGCTATATATACACAGATATGTTGTGTGTGCAAATATCTGACTATCTGCATCTATAGCCAAGTCCTCTTCTCTAATTTTAGTCAATGTGAGTTTTGCTATGCACTCAGTGGGACCAAGATCTTGCTGCAAGGGGACAGCTTGCATTGAGTAAGGACTAAAGAGCTCAGTAAGGATTGAAGAATACATTATGTTGTATTTGTTCATTTATCAGATGTTTCCAAATTTTGTTCAACAAAAGCAGAAATTTCTCATTATGGATCATGTACATGCAAGACTGAACTTTTCAAAGTAAAACAGCTATTGATTTACCCACAAGACACCTGAACCATTGTCCTAAAGTTCAGTTAAAACAGGTGAAAGAACCTGCTTCCGATATTCCCCCCACAAATTCATCAGTAGGAGAAAAATCAGCCCAATTGTCTCAAATAGTGTAGTTGTCAATAATGGTAAGTAGTTTGACACTTTTCATCCTGAATGGTTTTTAAGCGCTTAATTTCTGGCTTGATTTTAGCCTGTTCCTTTATCATGATATTTGATCCTCTAAGAGCTTAGAGGCAAATGCTGTTCCTCCTATTCCACATGAATGGGGAAGGCCAAAACTACATGGAAAATGCCTCATTTCTGCTGCAGAGAGGCGGCACGGGGACCCAGCATCCTTTTGTATATCATAGTGCAAATCTCCACAGTGGTTCTCGGCCATTCACTGCAGAGGGGCATGCCGGAGGGCTGGGGTCCCGGCCAATCGATGGTTCCACAAGCCCCAGTGCCATCCAGAGAGAGGAGCAATGGCCCATGACTGATTCATGATGGGATAAATCACTTGATGAGTCCCTGTTCTGTTCATTCCCTCTGAAGCACCTAGTATTGGCCACTGTCGGAAGACAGGATACTGGGCTAGACGGACCTTTGGTCTGATCCAGTATGACTGTTCCTATCCTTCTCATACCCAGTCATGGTGTCCATGGCCAGGTGTCTATGGCCAGGTCTATGGAATGGTGTCTATGTAGCTGCTGCAGGCAAAGCCCTTTTACTCAGTCTTTGCTCATGAGACCAAAATTTGGCCCTCAGACACAGCTATAGCACACAAATACTCAAAAACTGTATCCAAGATGGCAAACAGTATTTACTGTTACCATTCAGATTCTTGTTAACTAGCTTAAACTCGTTAGCTATTTTTTTAAAAGATAAATTAAACAAAAAGAGATTACTTTGGAGGGGGGAATCAGCACCAAGGAAATATGGGTAAAATATTATAGAAGCAGTAACACTCTTGGAAGAGAGCTATTATTATTTCGGGAGGATTTGTGAGTTTTACCATAATTTTATATGTTATTACTGTTTAGGGCACCAAATCTGCAAACACTTATGCACACAGATTAATAGATTCCACAGCCAGAAGGGACCATTGTAATAATCTAGTCTGACCTCCTGTATAACACAGGCCACAGAACTTCCCCAAAATAATTAACAGCTTTGTATCAGGACTACTCATCTGCTAAAGCTACTCACAAGCTGAAGTGTCTGCAGGATTAGAATCTTGATTCCCTGATTAATGTTACATCTGTGCATGTAACTACATGTCAGACTATTGATAATTTGGGTATTCTGCAAAAATCAGGGGGTGGGGAACAGATCGTAGTAATACAATAAAAATCTGGATATTTATTTGCATAGTGAGCTTTAAAAGAGAGAATACGAAACTTGTAATCAGATTGCAATAATGTAAGAAAAACATGTAGTCATGGCCAAAGAACGGCCCTTGAGCACAGCATTTTGCTTCTCCATGTGCCCCAGCCTGCTTTCCCTCCTTGAGTTACAGTAACAGTGAAATGAGAACTAGCAAGCTGCAGGCAGCATTTGTTACCTTGAATCAGCCCCTGACCTTTGCATGGCCCACGAATCCCAAATGGGCTCTGTGGATAAATAGCACTATCTGGTGGAGGGAGTGTGCAAAGTCTTGTCTCGACTTTTAATGAGCTTATGTAGTCAGTTAAGAATCACTGCTGCTGCTGCTGTGCTCCTGGTCCAGAATTGCTGGAAGTTTTTAGGAGGAGTTTTTCCACACCCATGGCCACCAGTGAGCTACATAGGGAAACATGCCTGGCAGAGTTTTCCATAGCTAATGTCAATGCTAATTGCAAGGATTTCCTGGGAATTGTTACTGAAATTCTTACTGAAACTTTTGTGAAATATTTCAGGGCTCTTCTGTTATGGCAGTTTGAGAGAAAGGTGGTTAAATGATACACTGAAACATACACACACATGCAGAGCAAGATCCACTCTCACGCTGTTGGAGAAGCTTTAAGAACCACCTTCATGTCAGAGATAGATCCAAAA